AAATAGCAAACTGTAGATGATACAATGTATTCTGAACAGCCATGGGAAAGCTCCACATTTCTGTTTCATCATAGTACAGAAGAGGTTTCTTTTTACAAGGCTGAATTCACACAAAGGGTACACAGTACTAACAGAAGTTGTAGTCTGTTTGGTAACTGAAGTTGTAGTCTGTTTGGTATCTGTGTTCAGAAACTGTAAATACATACTGGTAAAAACCTAGGTAGGTTTCGGTAGAAGGCTGCAAATGACCACACCAAAACAAATATTTTGAGAAAATAAAGCTCCAGGAGGATATGAGTTTGCAGGATTTTGTATTTGACATACTAACTATATTAAAGAAAATTCACCTTGCTGGTTTGTAGTAATAAGTGAATATTCTAGCATACCATGCCATGGATATTAATGAACTAGTACAACAGCAGAAACAAACTGATCCAGGGCATCTTCTATTAAGAGAAATATAATGACAAATAATTAATAAATGACTAATGTGTCCTAATCACTATGGTAAAGCTACTGTTTATTGCATCTCTAGTTTGAATTTGCTCTAGCTTCAGAGGAGTTTGAAAGAACTTTTAGTACTGAAAGACTAACTAAAGTGCAGAGGATGACATTACTACAACATTTGTAATATTTTTGTGTGTGGTTTGAAACAAAGCTGAAATTCTGTCTCTGAGCAATAAAAAAGTTCTTTGATAACATCATAACTGGCACAAGATTTCGTTATAGAAAGCCCCAAAGCGGCACAGTTCACTTCCACGGCTAACACCTGATTTGGTTTATTTGCTAATCTTTCATCAGAAATGTACAAACAATTCAGGGGCTTCACCTGGGTAATCAATGGGTAACCCTTTTCCTGTCACGCTTCCCTGCCCACCAATCAGTCAGCATAAACATTTTCACTGTAACAGCTGCTCCACCTTGGAGTGCATCGTAAGGCTGCAATATCACCACTTGCTAGGATCTAAAGAGAAGTCTACATCAGTAGACAGCAAAATCAATGCTCACCCAATTACAGATATTTTTCGAAAATATTGCAGGCTCAGTTCATTCATCTTTTATGTCGGTTTTCCACTTTGGGCCAAATACCAGCAGAGCTGTTTCTGCAGCGTGATGGATCTTAGTGGAACAAAGAAGTTACTTTCATCACTGCCATATAAATATCCTGATGCTGTCTAATCCCACCTGGTTGTCTGGGGCACATTTTCTATCTTTCCCCTAGACACTGGAATATTGAAATAGATGTGAGAAGAGCCTTCACCTGCTGTTTAACAGGAGATGCAAGAGAGGAAACAACCCCCAGGCTCACAGCTCTGAGAAACTTTGCCATCTACACAAGAATAATTTTTCAAAACACATACATGTTTTTCTCCACAATTCTCTTTTGGTAACTCCGGTTCTTTCAAACTGTACTCCTTCAGATGAAAGTTTGTATGTAACCGCAGTTATACACACCTCTATGTGTTCACAACCACCTAGCTAACACTCCCCGTGTTATTTACTCCATCCTTTTACTGAAACCATCCTGTGCCAAACCTGCCTAGTGACAGGGTTTGCTGAGGAGTTTTTCCTTTACAGTCAACTGTGGGACTGCTTCTTCCTAAGGAGACAAAGAGCTCTTTTTCCCTCTCTGTTTAACCAGTAACTCTAACTATTCTCACTCCAAAAGGAGGCACAGTTAAGCAATACACAAAGAACTGCTATCCAGCCAGCAACTCTGTAAAGCTTCAGGAACTGGATATGCTTTGTCATTGCTCATCTGGTGTGGACTGAAAGGTAATAACAGAATCATAGAGTGGTTTGGGTTGGAAGGAACCTTAAAGCTCACCCAGCTGCAACCTCCTGCCACAGGCAGAGACAACTTCCATTACAGCAGGTTGCTCCAAGCCCTGTCCAACCTGTCCTTGAACACTGCCAGTGATGGGGCAGCCATAGCTAATACCTAACCTAAATCTCCCCTCTGTCAGTTTAAAGCTATTCCCCCCTTATCCTGATCCTACAGGCCCTTTTAAAAAGTCCCTCTCTGGGCTTCTTGTCAGCCTGTTTAGGCACCAGGAGACACTAAGGTGTCCCAGAGCTTTCTCTTCCCCAGGCTGAAGAAGCCCAGCTCTCTCAGCCTATCTCCATAGGAGAGGAGCTCCAGCCCCTGAGCATCTTTGTGGCCTCGTCCGGACTTGCTCCAACAGGTCCACATCTCTGTTGTTTTGCAGGCCCGAGCTGGATGCAGCACTGCAGGTGGGGTCTCATGAGAGTGGAGTAGAGGGGCAGAATCACTTCCCTCGACCTGCTGGCTATGCTGCTTGTCATGCTGCCCATTTTGATGTAATCCTGACCCACACACAGCTGTGACGGCCACCGCAGCAACTGCGGTCAAACACCCCCACTCCACCCCGGCCCCAGTTCTTCCTCATGGCTCTGTTTTGCTGGAACAGCTGTTTAGCGCGGCTGTAGCGCGGCCCCTTGTGCGTTCCGCTGGAGCTTCCCTGCGCGCCCAAGGGCTGCCCCCTGTCCATGGCCGCAGGAAAACAGGACGCGGCCCGCCTCCCGAAACGGCCGCTTTATTTTACTGCCACCTACTGGAAAAAACGCCATTACATTTAACATGGCTGAGGACGGGGCAGCGGCCTGAGCAGCGCCGACAGCATCGGGCCGCAAACGCCCGACAGACGCTGTGGTGAGGCCGGCAGTACATCACGCCGGGGCCCGCACCCTCGCAAGCCGGGCAGGGCCTCGCCGGGCACAAGGGGCCTTCGGGAGCGGCAGCCCAGAGATCAGCGTGGGGCCCACGCGTCGGGACGCGACCAGGGCCCGGCTGCGCTCCCCGCCGGGCGCTGCTGTGGGCCCGGCACCAACGTGCGGGCGCGGGGCCGCGCGGCGGCGACCGTTGCCACAGCAACAGCGGCTCCCAGTGAGCCCCGCCCCGCCCTGCTCGGCACGGCTGCGGCGGCCAGTGGCGGCGGCGGGAGGCGTCACGTGGGGCAACGGGCGCCGCCGTGAGGGGCTGAGGGGCCGGTGGCGCTCACACCGCCGAGAGCCGCAGCCATGTTCGGGGGTCTGGGACGCTGCTTCGAGGAGGACCCCTTCTTCCGGTGAGGGGCCCGTTGCGGCCCCGGGGCGCCGGGTTGGGAGGTGGCGGGCGGCCTCTGGAGCCCCGGTGCTGGGGTTATGGGGGTTGTGAGTGGCTGGTCGGGGTGGGTGTGAGGTGGCCGTAGCCTGAAGCAGCGTTTCGGGGTTCCCGTCGCCTTGGAGCACTCGTATCTGCGCGGGGTTAAGCCACCGATACGGTTCCTAGCCGTGCTCCCCCCGTTACCCGAAACAAACGAGGGTGCGGAGTGCATGTTAGAACTAGGGGGAGGGGGATAAACTGTTGCTAGTGGCCCCTCTTCAGCAGCGCTCGTAATCCTTACTGCGCAGTAGGGAATTTGGTCGTGATTTTATAGTGGCATCTACAGAAGTCTTCACCTCCGTTGGTTTGAATTTCTTGCTTTTGTTTTTGGGTTTCTTTTTCCTAAAGTTTCTTAGGAAGTGGACAGGTGCTGTATGTTCTCGCTTCTCTGGGTTTTTTTGGCTTTGTTTTTTCCTTTTTGCCACAGACTTTCTGGACTTTTGTCAATGCACACACTAAAGGTTACACCAGGTGTTCTTGCATTAGAACTTTGCCAATGTCTACATGAGATCAGTAAAGGCAAGCTGTTTCCTTGTGCTGATTTTCTGAGTGGATCCTTATGCTTCAGCTCAGCAGACTTGCTTTTTTTTTGATCTCTGTACTGCAAGCACAATGATAGTGCTTGGAGTAGAGCATGTCTATGTACTCAACTCTGAAATCACGTTATTTCTCATAGGAATCTTCTTTTCCCACGGGAACCCAAATCCAAGTAGTGTGTCGTGCAAATGTTCCCCTATCCTGTGTTAGGATAGTCAAAACTGCTGAAGTATCTAGTCTGGCCCCATTTTATATCCTTCATCAGAAATTGATCTGTAGCGGGTAAGAACGGGATAGTACAGCTCAAAGGAGCCTGAATGATTTTAGTAAGTACCAATAAAGGCATCGTGTCTTTAGGAAAAACTATGTGGAACTTGATTACAAGCAAAGATAAGGTATAGTGCTGGTGGGTGAACAAGGCAGGGTAACACTTAGGACCTTGTGATATGGGTTTGTTGACTGTATCTCTTAGCTACTGGATAGTCTAGCTGAGGTTGCGTTTGTACCTCTTAAAGGAGAATCTACTGCTTAGTTGCAGAAACATGTTTCTAGCAGTGGGATAGTTTCTAAAGCTGCACAATTTATTAGTACACTTGGTTTCTAGGAATATGTGCGCTAGTATAACAACTCATCAGTTACATGAAGAAAATTTCCTCTGCACAAAACTAAAATAATAATAGAAATTAAGTCGTGTTTGTAGTATTTTGTAGCATGCTTTTGAAGTATTAGTTGCTTCCCTTTCATTTATTTTATTGCAGTCACTGATACAGTTTAAAACTAGGGAGAAAAGATGACTGCAGAAGATAATGGAAGGGAGTGTGTGTGAAAGAGATGAGAGATGGATTTTGAGATTAATGTTCTTGGCACTGCCCTTTTAAGTCTGTTTTGCATGTAGTTAAGGAAATTAGCTTATTGCTTCAGATAAGATTGGCTTCCAAAATAGAGTAATAATAGGCTTCTATTGCCTCTTAAGGAGAGATTTTGACTGCTGAACTGGAAAAAGTGCCTGGGTTAAAAGAAATAGCTCTGTCTGTGAGCAGCTGTCCTGGGGAAGCACCAGTCAGTCAAAATGCTGCCCCGCGCCCCCCCCCCCCCCCGAGTTTCATCGCTGATAGCCTGGACAGGTGCAGAAGTTGCATCTTCTCTGCCAAGTGCAGTTGGCCTCTGTTTTTAATTGACCAACAGACAGCTCTTGTTTTATTGTCCAGGTGTTACCTTCAGTGTGATTCTGCAGCTTCAGGCTTACATAAGTTCCTAAATAAATAAACAAATAAAATGTATCTAATACAAAGTACAGTTTTCAAAAATAACAAACTGAATTTATTGTTCTAGGACACTGATTTTTAAACTGACCAGAAACACATGCTGACTTACACTGTACCAGGACATATGTTTTCCAGACAGATTCTCTGTTGACTTCTCATTGGTTTTGCCCTACTCTAGAGCATATCAGAATTGTAGCATTTGTTTCGAAGCTTGACAACACTAGATCTTTTTATGAATAGCTCCCTAAAATGTCCCTGGGGAACTGGGAGGCTTCACTTCTGTTCCTGAATCTGTCACAGTGTATCTCTTACTTCCCTGTCTCTGATAGTAAGAAGCTGTATTTCTGAATTGCTTCACAGACCTTCATTAAAAAAACAACAAAAAAAAACAACAAAAAACCATAAAACCCCAGTTTTAGATGCAGGTATAAGTGTATCAATTAGATGTAGTGGAGCATGAATGGCCAAGAGAAGTTGCCAGAGAAACTGAAATAATGCAAAAAGGACAATTTCACAAGGTATGAAGCATTATTTTGTCAGATGAGGTGTATTACAGTATGTTATGCACATTAAATTAAACCAAGTTTTCTTGTCTACATTCAGTCCATGAAATCTTATTTTGCTTATGATGTGTTGTAGATAACTTGAGTGTCCTTTTGAACTGGAAGAGACTGGAGAGAAATTTTGTTATATATATATTACTGATGGAATACAGTTTGAGTTTTGATAACCAAACCTGTCTGAAGTTTGTGGTGTCAGAAGAGATTTGCTGGAAGTACATGTCTACTGCAGTGTAGTGCTTGTGTGCTTCCCTCATCTTGGCTCGTGCAGTGACTTTTTCCATCTGTTCTTCATCCTGTGAAATGTGAGGGGACACTTGCTGTGTGCAAGCTGCTTATCACGCTAGGGCTGAAGTTAAAGCTGGTTGTCATGTGAGTGGGGTAGATTAGGGTCTGCTTAATGACAGTGGTAAAACTACTTCTATACAGGTCCCTTTGCATTGAAGTGAGTTAAGTATGGGCATAGCTTAAAGGGATATTGTGTTAAAAAATCTTGTTTGAAAATTAATCCAGCATACATTTGTAGCCCTATTTCTTTGCACCTTTTAGTGCAACTCTGGCACAAGAAGAGAGTATATAGTGGAGAGATCAAAGTGGCCACATGGCATGGAAATTAGTTTTCATAGGACTGAAGATAAGGGAGGAGAGAATAGAAAAGCTGTTCAAGAGACTTGAAAGAGATGATTGGCTGTTAAAGTCAGAGGAACAACCTGAAGGTCTTCTTCACAGAGGCAGATTTTACAGGAAAGGCTGTGGTGTCCTGGAGAGAATGAGGGTGTGAGCTGTCTGGGGAGTGCCAGGAAATTGATAGGAAGGAAGATGAGGTGCGATTAAGTCTAAGTAAACATACCTGGGAAATGATTGTTAATAAAATGGCTTTCAGTGGACTAGCAAAGGGGGGAAATTAGACTGGAGATGAAGGGAGGAAATCACCTGTATTTTTTGTATGAAGTAGCCTTGGACCACAGGCAGCAGTACTGATCATGTATTGTGCTTCTGGCAAAATCGTATTTTGATCTTTTTTTGGTTAGAAATATTTAGCACATGCCCAAATTAGAGAATGCAAAGAATGAAGTAGTAATGGAGGGCAACTTGAGCAGTGTTCTACCTGCAAGCCAATCTTTGGGATTACTTGGAAGGTTCTAAAAACCTACAGGTTTTTGGAAGCAGAGGCTGAGTGTTTAGAGAGTAGAGGGAGAAAACTAGTAGGAAAGCAAAAAGCCAGTAAGAATCTTTCTTCCTAGGCAGAGAAAAGGGGTACGAGAACATGATTTACGGAGGGGGTAAAAAGTGATACAATAGTGGGTGACTAAAGTAAAGGAGATGGAGATGGAGAGGATTGTATACATTTTTGAGCATGTGGGTCAAGGAGGATGAGAAGTAGAATGGAAGTGGCCAGCAAAAAAATTTGAGGGGTGATGGTGATGAAATCTGGTGGGACATAATGAGTTCAGTGAGTAGTACCATAGTAAGCTTTGAGAGATTGAAGTCAAAAAAGGAGAGGGGAAAAAAAAAAAATCTTTTAATGTCAGGGGTTGGAGGTAGAAGTAGTGATAAAACATGGGTCAGTTTTATAGTTTGTGGCAGATGGTAAACATAGGCTGGAGTGAAAGATGGTTGCAAAGGCTGAAATATTTTTTGGAGAAGGTGAGGAAAGAGAAAAAGCAATATGGACACACAAGAGTGTAGGAAAGCCATGAAGGCAGCTGAGAAGACAAAAGAACTAGAACATCCAACCAATGTGAGAGATGGGAAGTGAAAGAAGTGAGAGTTGGTGAGAAAAAGGAGATTGCCCAGTCGGGTCCTGTTAAAGTCAGAATTTAAATAAAGAACCATATGGTATGATTAATAAAATTGCATTTTAACAATTTTGGAGCAATTTTCTGTAGCTTGGAATAAAACCTGATGACTTTCTGTGCAAAATATCTCTTTTTCAGAGATCCTTTTGCTGCCCACCATGAATATATGCAGCAGATGATGAGAAGCTTTTCTGATCCTTTTGGACGAGATCCATTTCTCAGTATAACAGATGGTGGGGAAAGAACAGTAGATCGAAGAGCACACCAGGACTCTCGGGTTGCTCTAAGAGGAAATCGCAGAGTAAGTATTTTCTTAATCTCTAAGGATTGCTACATGGAATTTACATTTACTGGTAGTATGGTTGGCTTCACATTTCCATTTCTGTTAAATTTGGTCCAGTGGAAACAGGGGCCTGTTACAACCTTGGTCAGATTGTTTCATTGCCAAGTAATATGTGAATAATCTCTCTTGGTTTGTTAATAGCCTGTTACTTCACACTGACAAGCTTCTGTTAGGACAAGTCTGTATTATTGAACATTGAATATACAGTATTTAATGAAACAAACTAAACAATCTTATCAAATGTTTGGCTTAATAAATGTTATGTATGAAATGTCTGTTACAGAAAGGCATTAAAAATGTCCAGAAACAGAGCCTTCTCTGAACTCTTCCTTTTTATTCTAACTTTCTTTAAAAGGTACCTTGATACTTATGCCTTCACTCTGAAACTTAGTATCTTCTGTCTAGTTACTCATGTTAGTTTGATTTAACAAAAACCTGTGTTTCAGCCACTTGGGATCAGAGAAACTGATATGAAATCTAGTATTTCTATAAATTACCAGCTGAAACTGAAGAAGTTGGCAGTGATCTGTGTTTTGCGTAAAGTAGTTTTTTTAACTTTATGGCGTGCAGGACAATTATATCTTATGCTTCTGTAGCTAAACCTTGTGCAATTGCTGTATTTAGAAAGGATACACTTTGGAAGTTGGTTCCTTCCCCTCCACCAGGATAAATATTTTGCAGCTGAATGATCTCTTGCTTTAGTGAATCATATTAAATAAAAAAAAAAAATCCCAAACCATTCAAAAAACCACAACTATCCCGGCCCCCCCCCCCCCCCCCCCACCCCCCAAAAAAAAAAGAGAGTTGGAAGATGAGACTCATTGCAAGAGCTTGTGGAACTTGGCCAGATTTCGTGGTGGTTGTTCAAACCTAGATAGTTAGACCTTAATAAACACAGCTAAAACACAGACTATCACCTGCAAGACAAAAGGGTAACTGTCAGATTCTTTCCTCTCTGCTCATACGTTGCCAGTTAGTTTCAAATATAGATGCTGCTGAATCTAATTAGGGCATGATATTTCCTCTGCTGAAGCAGATTCTTAGGCCTTGGTTCAGTAGATGCCTAAAACCAGATCAGCCTTCATTTTCCTTCAGAAAAAGGATACTTTAAACCTTATCCTAATAGCTAGGAAGTTTTTGTCCCTTGTACTTGGTGGTGAGGGACAGATGTGAGACACAGGAAACCTTTATCTATGGTTACAGAAAGAAGTTAAAGGCACAAAAGCACTGTGTTATTTTGATAAGCACAGAAGAATTCCACACCTGCTAAAATCTTTTCAGTATCTTTTGATGTTCCTCATGTTTCACCTCAGAGCTGTCAGATGTCACAGAAGGCTTGGCACTGATTACTTGAGCATTGTAGTAGTTGCAAACCGCTTTTACTGGTTTCCCTTCAGAAGTGACTCAGATACTTAAAATAATTAGTTTTGTGTAGGAAAAAATGGGTATCTTTACTACCATGTAAAAACCACTTTGTTAAAGTTACCCATACTGATTACTGATATTGTCATTCTATGTTTAAGTAAACTGTAGCGTGTCTAAAACTGCTTCATGAGGAAAAGAACTTGTTGCAAAAACACAATGTGTATCAGTGTAACATTCAAATTTGAACATGCTTTTCCTTTTTCAAGCAGGTTTGCAATGTCAGTTTTTAGCACAATGAATGGGGTAAAACATCTTAAAAGATACTGTCATTCAGTTTTGTTATGGTATCTGATGGTCCTATATGTTAGGCAACTATTTAGCCACTTTTAGCATGTATTATAAAACAAAGTTTATAAACTTTATTTCTGAGGATAGCCTTTTGCACTTGATATATGTAACATATAAATATATATGATATTCTTTCAATACATATTAGACAGAACTGCAATCTGGAAGAGTTCTTAAAGGTACTCCAAGAACTGGTCAATTCCTTTTGTACTTAAAAGTTACTGTAAAGTGTTTAGTACTTCTTTATTTAGGTGGCTTTTATGTAACTCTCCAATCTTAGCTTCCTGGAAACATCAGTGTGTTGTCCAGCGTCTCATTGCCCTGTCATATAGGGATATTCAATATCAGTTGGTCAAACAGGAACTATATTTGTTGGTGTTTATAGCTACATCTGTTTATACAACTGCAGAAGAATATAATTTGCTTGTGGGGATTTGTCTTCAGGGGGTTCTGTATATGATGATAAATTTACCTGGAATTTCTGTGCAATGATCTCAGAAACCGTTGACTTAACTGCTGAAGTTAGACTTCAATTTATTGTAAGGAATGTATAGATATTTTAAAGAAAATCTTTCTATTTGCATTGATCAGTTTTAATACATAAAGAGTGCTTGTTAACAGGCCAACTGCACCACTTAATTTTTTTAAGCTCTAAAATTGTACGCCAACCTTCTAAAATTTAATTATGTTACATTAAGGGACTATTGATCTGTTGATTTTCATCAACTGTCAGCAGTGGGGTTCTATTGCATGACTAGAATGAAGTGTTGTCAGAGAAGTGGGTGATGTGTGAAGCACTGTGCAATGTTTTAAATAATTTTGGCACAGAGGTTACTATGGTAAACAAATGTTTCTCAACTTGTAGCTTTAAGTTCTTCTAGTACATACATGTGAATAGGATTTATTAAATGTGGTGACAGCTATTGCTTTCCAATATCAATAGTGTAAATATATTAACTTCTGTATACCCGGAGACTACTTCATATTATATTGGCATAGCACACTATAAATTACCAAGGTCCTTTTGAGTGACTGTTTTTGTTTGATTGAAAATGTTTAATATTACCTGGTGTATATGAAAGTTACTTCTGCTGCCTGATAACAGGTATAACTGAAAGATGCTGGTCCTTTTTCTTCCAGGCAACAAGCTGTGGCATCATGCCCTTTGCAGGCTTTGGTAGAGTGGTTAGTATCCCAGGACCAATAATCCTTTTAGTTCTTGCTAGTATGTGTGTACTGTCTGCATAACTAAAGCATGGACAAAGGCGAGTCTTGGTGTGCTTACAAACTGCTTTTGTTGGTGTTTACATATATGGAACAGTATAATTCAAGAAAGATATTCTTTATTTTTTTTTTTTTTAATTCTTAAGTGAAAATGCTGGGGTAGATTAAATAGGCTGATACCAAGACTGGAAAAGTTATTGCTTAGCAGCTGGCTGTTTCTACTCAGTGATGTACCTGATTGTACTTAATCTCTGGAGACTCCAAACTCTGACTACTGCCTTTGGAAGGCTTTAAAGAGTCCTCAGATTGAAACCCATTGGTTAAGAGAGTGGTTCTCACTTGCAGAGCAGACAAAAATAATCATGCGTCTTTGACTTTACAGATCCAAGGATATAAATATGACATTACAAAGGCACAAATTTGCATCTTGCCGTATGCAAAAAACTAATCAAAGTTCTTTTGCTACTAACTGCACAGATTATGGTTTTACCCTCTTGCTGCAATCTATGGCATGTAATTCCACAGGTACAGCTGATTACTAGGCAATGGCATTGGTGAACACCCAGACTTCTAACTGTAGAAGGCAGTTTTCTGGAGTTACTGACACTTGCTATGAATTGATGGCCTAAATTATCTATCAGTATTGCCAGAGGTTTTGATAACCCTTTAAGGATTCATATTTGTTCCTACTCAAGAAAAAAATATTTTCTGTATCTGAGTTTTACTTAGTTTTATGCTTAAGCTGCAGGTTTTATTTTTAAACTTTTAAATTCAATTTATGTGTTTCCAGTAGTCCGAGGAATGTGGGATGTTTGCAATTGTAATTAGCATCCTGGTGTTTTGAAGCACTTCAGTAGCACAAAGGGCTGCCATGTGCAGCCCAGCAACCAGCCTCTTGACAAAGCTGCTAGGTTTTGAGGAGCTCATGGGAGCAGTTTTCCCTGCTCTTGTCACAGTCTTGTACCTGTGGACCAGAGTGTGGTGGTGGCACAGCGGCTGTCCTGGGAAGCAGCTACGTGCACATGTGCCTAAACTCACCAACCCATCAGTGTGTGGTGTTTGCTCTTAAGTAGTGTGCTCCAACCAAAGCTGCTCCTGTTGGAAACCAGGCAGCCCAGTAGGGAGTTTGAACTGGTTCTGAGGAAAAGCTTGTAGTAGGAACGGAAAGGCATGATGAAAATACTTATCATCACCACCTGCTGCACTGGAGAGGAGCCCAGAGGAGGATGCTCCTTTGGGACAGAATTGCTGTCTTCCCAGATGGTCACTTAAGAGAGTTCACCCTTTCCTTGCTTTCTGTCTCCCTGTCTATGTTTTTTTGTTGGTTTTTTGTTGTTTTTTTTTGTTTGTTTTATTTCATTTTCTTCAAAAGACAGCTTTCATCAGTATATGCCATCAGCTACATGTCCTATTAATAAAAATTCTGTGCATGTAAACCTGTCTTAATATCTATCTTTTGTGCAACACTGGATCTTCTGCCGTCATGTAGAAATAACAAATGTTTTGTTGATTACATCTGTAGCATCAAGTAATTAAGCTGCCATTAAAATACCAAGTTATCATTCTTTGTTTTTTTTTCCCCACTGCCCTTATGAGTAATGTACACTACTTCTGCAAAGGAACAGCTGTGTCTGCTGGGATGCATTTTCAGTGTGACTCCATATGCATTAAGGGATTTACATAATAGAGATAATTTGATCTTCAGTAGATTATAAGGCATGGAGTGTCATATAGTCCTTTTTACATCAGAAGCTAGTTAGGTTAGAAGGTATTTGAAAATAGTTCTTGTAAACTGTCTACAGTATGAGCTTATTTTCACATTCAGGTGTCAAATCTTTGACTTCTGTCTTACCAGTATCTCCAACTTAACAAGCAAGCTCCCCATGTTAGCTTACAATTTTTTTTTAGTTGAAAAGATGCATTTTGGCCTGTCTATGTCTATGAATTGCAGCCTTTGAAAACCTTTCTGATGGTCTTATTTGCATTAGAAAATGCATGTGGAAACAGCTTCAGAACTTGAGGAGTTCTAGACTATGTTTTAATTTTAATGTCTTTTATTAGGATGCAGATTTTGGGGACCCATTTTTTGCAATGGACAGGATGGTGTCAAATATGAGAAACAGTATGCTGGAAATGCAAAGAAAATTTGTAAGTTTGTTTGTTTTTTGAGTTTTTGTGTTGTGTTTTTTTTTTTTTAATTAAAAATTGGTCTAAAATTAATTGTCTTGGAGAACAATAGCTGTTTAAAATATTACTCAAAGTCCTGCCAAAATAAATTCCTCCTGTTTAAGACTAATAACTTTTAAAATTTTCCCCCCACACTATATCGTGGTTATAATTCTTTATGCTGTCATTGATTATTTGCTAACAACAGTATTTTAAGCGTATGCTTGGTTTTCTAGGGGTTAGAACTGCTGTAAGTTATCTGGTCTCTGCCTGTTGCCAGAGCTGACACCTTAAGCGAAGGAGCAATTTAAAGCTTTACTGGACATTTAAAAACAAAAACCACAAAGCATAAATGTCACCCTCCATATAGGTTTTTATCTGATTTTATTTGCAGTGCTGCTTCTTTCTTCTTTCTTCACAGTCTTTGAAGATAACACTGATAGCTATTAAAGTGTTGCTCAGTAAATTTACTGTTTTATTGGCCTTGTAAAATGGCTTGTAACCATTGTTGCTCAAGTCCTATTTCACCTGAACTCTTTACACACATTATATACTGTATGTGGCAACACTTATGTTACAGGTTATGTATCTTCATTACTAAACTATGCCAGGGCAAGCATTCGAGCAGTTGCTTATTGCTGCCCAGGCTTTGGACCATGTTCCCTGGCATGGGAGACCCGTGGCCAGACAAGGCTAGGACAAGAGTGAGGGTATATCAAATGCCGAGTTCTCTTCTCAACAGGCAGCATCTGTGGTGCCAGGAGTGAGGGTTAATTTTTCAGAGGGGTATTCTTTTCACAATGAGATAGTGTCAGAATGTAAGAAGTATCTATTATCCACAAGTTTCATTTTTTATTAATAAGAAGTCTACATTGCTTGTAGGATGACCTGTCCATCCATCCAGACGCGCACACGTTTAGCTCCTCCTCTGTGATGACATACTCCAAAATAGGAGATGAACCACCAAAAGTTTTCCAGGCTTCATCTCAGACACGCACAGCTCCAGGAGGTGTAAGTAGTCCTGAGATCCAGCAAAAAGGTGGTATGTAATTACCAAAATTTCATCTATGCCAAACTGCAGCTTCCTTAAGGTTCTTTTTCCTGGAGACAGTTACTCTTATAATTTAGAAAAACATATGGCTTTTTAAACACTGCTCTATATTAAAGGTTTCTGAAGCTGAAGTGCAGTTTTCTTCCTTATAATTTGTATGCTTCTAAGTATGCATCTAAATAAATTGTATGTCTATCAGACTGGAAAAATTGAGTGCCAGAACAGCTGATTCTTCAAGTCAGTCTCCAGTGTCTTTCTCTTTACTACAGCTAAAACTCTTCTTTTACATTAAATTTCTGTCCAAAATGTAAGATACAAGAAGCAGCTTATTTATGCAAAACAGGGCTTCAAGTCATCCCCGTTATTCAAGCTCTTTTAAATGCTTATGTAATGCTTCAGATGAAGATGCCCTTTCATTGACTTCCTTGCAGCTGTTGCATCTAATTCTGCTAAGAAATTTGAATTTGAACCCTGAAGCAAGGTTCACGAAAGCCTATATGTGAGCAGTAAAGACCGTTGAGCATGACTGGCTGTGGGATATGTTCAAGTTCAAGCAGACACTCAGCTATCAAAAAGGTTCTAATAATATACCCATGAACACAGTGATAAGTGGTCGCCTGGGTTTCAAGCCAGTCAACATGACAACCTAGTAATTAGTTGTCCCTTCATGCTGAGAATATTGGCATTGGTTATTCCTTCTGTTGCCAAGGAGAATGTTGAAGACTTGTCTGCGCGTAGTATATTTAGATTAGGGTTTTTTTTCCCCCAACAATTAATATCCAGTATGTACGTTTCTCAGGGAGCTTTAGGAGTTCTTGTTTAATCTTCCTGTCTGTTGGCAAGAGGAACAGACTTGATCTGTGTGTTGGTGTATGTTCAGCTAACACAGTAAATTGGCAAACCCTGTAAAACGTAACTTTTTCACAAGAAAGATAAAAATCCTTTTGGGGAAAAAAGAAGATTTTTTTTTTTTTTTACTTTTTTTGATTGGAAAGACATTTACCTCCCTTTTTTGTACAGGTTAAGGAGACAAGAAAGGCACTTAAGGATTCTGAAAGTGGGCTGGAAAAAATGGCTATTGGTCATCACATTAATGATCGTGCTCATGTCATTAAAAAATCAAAGAACAGCAAGACTGGTGATGAAGAAATGAACCAAGAATTCATCAACTTGGATGAAAGTATGTCTCTTTTATGCAGTCCGTAATGGGCTTTACGCTGTTGTTTCACATACCAATTTTGAAGTTCCAGCTTGAGACATCTTAAAAGGGACTGTTTTTCAGACAGTCTGAGAGTCTGCAAATCAGGTTTCCTTAGCTGATATAAATTTGGAAACTGCGGTTACAGTGGCCATTTATAATTGAAAATGTGTTGTAATGCAATTGGTATTGTTTATTTGTACAACACCTGCTTGCATTTGAAAGTACTTTTCATAATATTTTATGGTTTCAAACAAACTTTTAACAGAATTTTGTTATTTGCTGTGTGTTGGTGGCTAATACATGTTTGAGATGTGTGGTTAAAGTGTGCCTGTATTTTTACAGCAGCGTTTTGTTTTGTGGAGTGTTTTTTAATTTTTATCTTCCAAACATAAGCCTACTGGCAGTAAGCTTTTAGTAGTCTTTTACAGATCCCCTAGAAATAGTTTGAAGGCCATGTGGAGAATCATGGCTCACAAGTTTAAAAAACACTGTTCAAAACCCCTAATTTTCAATACATTTTTTTTGTTCCCCTACCTCGTTAGCATTTATTAAAAAGTGAACTTTGTTTTTTCAGATGAGGCCCAGACCTTTGATGAAGAGTGGCAGAATGAGATTATGAAGTTCAAGCCATCTAGAACTAGATGCACTTTAGAAGCTCCAAAATACAGAAGTACTCATCACATACCTAAGGGAGATGGATTAAGAAGGTAAAAAGAGCTTCCTACCAGAATAAATAAATACTAGTAGCAGAATGAAAGTTGAATTCTGAAGCAATCTGTTCACATGCAAACAGTGTTGCTGGCAATCTGATGAAAAAGTGTGGTTTATTCCTTTTCATGGTGCCACAACAAACAGTGTAAAGCAGTATTTTGTTGCTAAATTCTGAAGAAATTTAGTATATTTGACTTAGAAAACATCTTAATGAAGATGGTGTCTGCTCTAGAGAACAGGCCAATGCTCTTAGCTCAGCCATGTACAAATGTTGCAGCTGTCCACACAGTCATTAAACTAGGTGAGCTGCTTTACGCTATAATCCATATTGAGGGCTAGGCTGATCTCTTCTCTTGGGTAAAAGGGAAGATGTTTTCCATATAGTTGGAGACAGACACACCCCTCTTTGCAGAGTTAGATTTCAAATGAGACCTCTCCTAATCTTAAAATCAGGGAGTATGTGTAGAAATGAGGTCTTTATCAGTAAATGCAGGAGCTCCCCTGCATAAACTGCTATCTGCCAAGCTTCAGTTTTTTCCCCTCTACTACTGACAGATAGTGTCAGTGCAAGCTCTCTTGCCTTCATCAGCTGCATATTCGGTAGAGAATGCTACAGAAGGGAGGTGGTCCTCTTTGGTAGACTACACAGAGCACTTTCCCTGTGGCACCCCTCCAATTCTAGAGGTTTATTATGGAGGCTACTTTACCTTCAGTTTCAGTTTTCAGACTAAGCTGGTTCTTTCTTGCCATCAGAGTGTGTAAGATGAGGAATCGGTCCAACCCTATGGTGGTAACAATGGAAGGAGTTTTTGAGAAAGAATCAAATCTGTGTTACAACTAAAATAACTATACCTCCACTTAAGTAACTAACAAAATATACATTCTCCCATCCCCTTATTTTATGGTGGTTGTGATTTTTTTTTTTTTGTTGGCTCTTGTTTCAGAGAGAAACCACTGGCAATTGCAGGATTCAGGGAGCCCCGAGGTTCTTTGGAGAATCTCAGTGTGAAAGGAACACATGTCCCCATCAGAAGCAGCAAAAAATAAATTGCTTCCATTCTCCATTTGAATGGAGTTTCTTCAGAGAAGATAATGGTGCTGCATTGCTTATGTTTGTATAAGTATACACATATATATGACCAATCTCTGTTTTTTGTTTTAGTAAGTATTAGTGTGCCTTACTACTCTGATCTTTTGACAATTGAATGTTCTTTAAAACTTCAGATCCTTGGTAAAACCATCCAGTTTCAGTAAATTAAAAACATAACAATTTTCCACTTAAAAGCACTTTAATGGGTTATCACTAATTCTGTTTTAAAAAGAAAATAAAAAATGCTTTGATTTACAAAATTTTTCTGCTACATCTGTAACAGTCTCAGGCTTTTTATTAAGCCTGCAACTATTAAGTAATGCAAGTATTTTTCCCCCACACTCTTAACTTACACAGAAATTCTTTTTATTTTGTGTGGCTGAAATAATTACTGATTTTTCTAGGTGATATAGCAATTAATAGCAATTTGAATGCACTGTAGCCACTATATCTACCTATCTACATATCTATCTTTAAAATCATACTGTAATCTTTTATAGAATCCCCAGATTTACCCTGCTTTAGCATGACGTGTAATAGTAAATTAACAAATACTTAAATTTTATCAGTTTTAGTTTTATCAGCATTTTTATGTTTATAAGCTGTGCTTGCATCTCTTCTGTGCCTAGATTGTTGGTTTTGTATTTCTGATTCTTTGTATATTTCCTTTGGAGGTGGCCCATTATTTTTAATTCTTGAAGAGTCTCTGTAGTAACTTTTAATTATCCTGTAATAATACTGCTGTGGCCTAAAACACAGCTGTAACTAGTAGTTACTGACCAGAAAAATAAATATGAGAAACTGGTTGAGCTGGCAGTAAGTTTAACTGGGTAATGAACGATTACACTATTTCTTCTCTCCTGAAAAGCTAAAAGAGCCCTGAATACTGGAAACCATTTCCCCTCAGCTGAGATGAAACATGTTTGTATTCTTGTGTGTCCTGCTTTAGCAAATGTAGGATGATCTTAAATCTAACACTTCATCTAATGCTGGTCTTGTTTGGTTAAGGTGTCTAATGTTCCAGAGAAAAGCCAACTGTGTGACTGAGGACAGGTCTCTGTATCACAAATGTTCAGTTTGTATGCTGTTCTATCACACAGAATTGATCCCCATACTGTATCACAAATAATTTCTGTAGACTATAACATTATAGCATCAGCATATATTTCAAGGCTAAAACATTATAGCCTTAAAAAGGCACTATTTGTATGATAAAAGAAAATAGGTTTTATAAGTTAATCTTTGTTTGGCCAAAAAGCAAATGGCCTCTAAATCATATTTAATCTTTCTTCAGATTCTGTGGATTACTTAATTCTATGCTTATTAATGTGCGTGCAGATAATCAAAAATACTTCTATTGAAATCTGCCAAGGGCAAGACAGTTGTTTATTTGCTTGTTTAATGCAATAGTCTCTTCCTATTATTAAACACTAGTGACAATAAATCTATGCTGTTGAACCACTCCACATGCGGGCAAGGTAAGAGGGTGGTAAGGAGGTAGTAGCAACTCCTGATGGACGGACGAGCTGGAACTGTGTGTAACAAAGTCGCACCTGCCAGAACTCTGAATCTTTTACTCTGCTTCAAAAGTAAGAGTACACCTCTATGGCCTGATCTTCTGTACACTGAAGACAACACTGATTTTGCAATTAATGTCATTGAGAATATAAGGCCACGGAGGCATTTTTCCAGGTGTGTCACTTAAACTTCCAAGTCAAAAAAAGTCAAAACCTTGTTACTGTTGTAACTTCGGAAGAAATCTTCGGTTTGGGAGCTGCTACTATTTAACAGAAAAAAAAGAGTATTCATCTTGCAAGTTACTTGTTTTTTCTGTGCTTTACTGAGATTAAAAAAAACCAACCCCATGACACGTATATATAATCAACAAAACAAGTATGTACTTCAGTTTTAAAATTATAGTGGAAGGAGGCTGATATTCATTACAGGTTACTTTGTTATACAAGCCAGTCTTTTAAAATGTAATGCAAAAGCAGCTGTTCTATATAGAAACATTGGAAACTGTAATTCTTTAATAAAATTATTTATTTATGGTTATTGTTTTGTTTACACTGCAACGTTGACTAGTGCATTTTTTATTTTGGCCTCCTTAAGAGCGTTCTTATGTATGATACCAGTAACAACGCAATGAGGGAAAGTGTGCTGCTCTCTTTCCAGAGGGAAAAAGGTGCATTTACCACACAAAAAGCACTGTGCCAGGAGGAAACAGATGGGGGGAGCATTTGTGTGGGGGGTGGCAAGGCTGGGTCTCTGCTTCAGACCTGCTCCTGGAGTGGTCTCTGGTGTGAAAGACCAGCTGTGCTTAGTGTAATCCTCGGCACTGGGCATTTACATTTTTATAGTTGAGAACACAGATGCATGAATCTCAGCATGCCATCCATTCTAACAGCCACCACGGACATGCTCTTACCTGATCCTAAATTCTCTATTATTGTGGTATTTATAGAGAGAGGCCATGCAGAGGACACGTGGTGTATCTCTAATGCTGACTTAACTGAAATTTGGCTATTGTAATCCAACGGTCACAATGTTACAAGCTTGTACCTGGGCTCCAACCTCCATCTTCCTACCTGTCATGAGTGTATTTTCCTTTCTCGTGCAGTGCTGCCACACAGCTGTTCTGATGAGGAGTCCAGCTCTGGACGTGTCTAAGTAGGGACGCCTGTGAAGGGTAGCCCTGTGCTCAATGCTTGCCTCCACTAAGCTGATTTGGTTTGGTGGAGTCGGCTAACCTTAACCTGCATTTACAGCACTGCTCTGATGACTCTGTGTCTTCAAATATCGCCTTCGATGAGTTTCAGTAGCTTAAAGTCTAATCCCTGTGTCCAGGTCGTTAATTAAAGTAGTGACTGGGGTCAGCCACAAGAAATCACCACGGCCTGGCCCAGCAAGAGCCCCCTTCTCCCGCTCCCCACCGCGGCCAGTCTCTCTGACGACATCCGGTCTCGGCTGCCGCTTCCCCGAGTCTCTCGCCCCCTGCTGCTGCCGGGCCTGCTCCGCATGCGTGGAGCCCCGGAAGCGGTGTGGGCCGACTTCGGCGGCGGCGGTCGGGAGCCATGCTGCGGGCGCTGGGGACGGGCCTGGCTCGGGGGCACCTGAAGAAGCAGCAACGGCGTCGGCGGCAGCAGGTACCGGCCGCGGCCGTTTCGTGAGGGGCGGCAGGTGCAGCGGCGCGGGCCGGGCCGGGCTCGGGCGGGACAGTACGGGCGCCCTGCGGAGGAGGCCAGGGGACGCGGGACTGCGGAGCCTGGTGAAGCCTGCGAGGGCCGAGCGAACTGTGAGAGGCCGGACGTAGATGTCGGTGCCCGGGCGCACCAGCCTCCCGTTACTGCGGCGGCGGGAGGGGAGATGAGGTGAAGGGATGGTGACAGGGAAAGGACAGACCTGTCCGAAAGCTCCGTATGAGCCGCAGGGAAACGTGCAGCGGGTCGGTCAGAGGAACAGGAGGAGGAACAGAGGAGTCGAGAACAGAGTGGGATTGAAACACGGGACTTGGCGTGGAGGTGTCACCTGGCTTCTTCGAGTGTGGTGCGGAGCTTAGAGGTGGCCCTGTGGGAGCTTGGAAAGGCTGTTTTGCTCCAAATGACCCATTGATTGTAGATTGGCCAGAAGCCATAGAAAGGCAGTTGACTGAGGTTTATTTATTGATGCAGTGGTTTGTGTTCGATCTGTTCCTAGCTAAACCAACAATATTTTCTTGCCTTTCAGTTTCTCCTGAGCTCCTGTAGGCACTGTTCTTCAGGATTCCTTCCCAATGAGAGGATCCGGAACATTGGGATCTCAGCCCACATCGACTCAGGGAAGACAACATTAACGGAGAGAATTCTTTTCTATACGGGCAGGATTGCACAGATGCATGAGGTTGGTTTTCAGAAGACTCCAGAGACACCCTGCCAGGGCCGAGCGTATAACAGCAGGGCAAGGGGATAAAAAGAAATCTCTCCTTTACTGCAGTGTCCTCACTCTTTCAGAATACTTCTAATCTCATTTCAAGACTTTACTTCTTTACCATCTCCACGATAATTAAATGATTGAAGATATGTTTTTCTTTTGATATAGCCAAAGAGATAATATAGCTGTGAGAAACAGTGCATAGTGAGGTAATCTTTAGCTTCAGGTATGTTACTGTGTCAAATTCACAGTAAAGCATAATTTTCACAGACTTCTGATTAGCTTTTTCAGGAATGAACCTCATAAAAGGCAAATACATTAAAGTTGTAGATGGAGCTGAAGAAAAAGACTTGCTTGTAGTTCAAGAACTGTTGGCATACCTGCTTTTCTTCACTGCATGAAAGATGATGCTCAGTATAGAAAGCATCACTCTAGCATGTGCAAGATTATTGGTAAACTCTTGGACTGAATTTCCCCCACCCCATTTTTGGTTTTAGTACTTTATTTTTATTATTATTCCTTAAGGTGAAAGGTAAGGATGGAGTTGGAGCTGTCATGGACTCAATGGAGCTAGAGCGACAGCGTGGAATCACAATTCAATCTGCAGCAACATACACCATGTGGAAAGACATCAACATCAACATCATAGACACACCAGGTAAGGGCAGTTCTGAACATGTTGGGATTGCTGTTCTTTCATGTATGCATAGAACATGGTGCTGTCTTTGTGGTCAGTAGTCGCTCAATCTGAGCTAATGTGACTCTTTCTGTACAGCTGCAGAATGATTCTGTTGGCTGTTGCTCTTTTCTGCCTGTATGAAAAAACAGTTTCTCATTATCTTTTCTCATCTGTAAATAATGTTTTTTTTTTTTATTCAGGGCATGTGGACTTCACAATTGAAGTGGAGAGATCTTTGCGAGTTCTTGATGGAGCTATTCTGGTTCTCTGTGCTGTTGGAGGAGTTCAGTGCCAGACAATAACAGTGAACAGGCAAATGAAACGTTACAATGTGCCGTTTTTAACATTCATCAACAAACTGGACAGACAGGGCTCTCGTCCAGCCAGAGCAGTACAACAGTTGAGGTATTTATCATTTAAAATTATTTGTGAAATAAATCTGAAGTATTCACATAGCAGGTTAAGGAAGAATATTGAAAAGGGTTTTTTTAGATCTGTAGTTGCCAACTAGAGGGTAATACCTGATTTGAGAAGAAATCTTGATCTGACCTGTAAAATAACTCAATTTTCTCAAGAAAAACAAACGTTAGTGTCAGCTTGAGCTTGCAGTAACCAAAATTTTGGGGTTTGATATTTATTATTTTGATGGAACTATATTTGGAGCCACTTTGAAAATGGCTTTTTAATTTTTTCCTAGATCCTGGTAGCAAATGTACTGCAGCTTACAGGAGGGAGATGACATAGGGTGGGATGATTTCTAGTTCGGATAACAGAAGTCTTACTTGCTCCTTACCTGCAGTCTCTCTGTGCCTAATTTGATCTGTGAGATCAAATGATCAAATAAGATGAATGCATTAATATGTATTAAGGGATAAGCAACTCCCATAAATCAAGTAATTTATCTGAAACCAGTTTGCACGGCCTTCTTTCCCATGAAAGTCACTCAGTATATCTATTGAGATACAGAGGGCTGGCTGTCACTCAGGTTAAAATACAACTGGGCATTTTTCATCAGTATTGGTAGATTTTTGGCACTGTCCAAAGGAGAAATGAGAGTGATTTTGTAGGAGCGATATGTTGTTCAAAGACCATCTGGAGCACATATATAGAAATTACTTTTTTTTTTTTTTTTTCTTCTTGAACTGATTTGTATTCTCTTTTTCAGATCCAAGTTAAAACACAATGCAGCTTTTGTTCAGATTCCAATTGGGCTGGAGGGAAACTTTAAAGGAATTATTGATCTCATTGAAGAAAAAGCTATATATTTTGATGGTGAGCTTGGGTAAGTTTTGAAACTTGCATATTTCTTAGCTAGAGCTGGCATTTTTTGCAGCTACCTGCAGTTTCTCTTCAGAGATGAAAAAGCCTACTCTTTGGGAAGTTAGGGATGTGGCTTGTGGTAGTGCTGAGATATGGCCTTTCAGCTCTTCAGGTTATGGCAGAATGATTCTGCAGGGTCGGGTTTAGTGATGGGCAGTGGCGGCATAAATTGTGTGCTAACTGAAGTAGTGTGAATAGCCACACTTGCCAGCCTGAGAAATAGCAGACTTGCCTTATAACGGGAACTGATAACATGGGTTTGGCCTGAGTTTCTGGGATGAAGATAAGATGTGGGTGAGGTTGTTGAACAGGTTACCCTGCATCCTTGCAAACTCCCTACTATGAGTGGGAAGAAACCTGCTAAATCATCAAAGGTAACACGTTGATATTCTTACGTGATTTCTTACCCCTCCACCAATATCCATGTCAAGAATGAATTTTCTTGGTCAGGCAGGTCATCACAATGATTAGTGATTGAAAGGTTGGTTAATACGGTATTCCTTTAAAGTGGTTATGTTATTTAATGTGTGTGTAGCCAGAATCTTCGGTATGATGAAATTCCAGCTGAATTTAGAGCTGAGGCTGCAGAGAGACGTCGGGAATTGATTGAATGTGTTGCTAACTCAGATGATCAGCTTGGGGAGCTGTTTTTGGAAGAGAAAATTCCTACACCTGCTGAGTTAAAGGTAACTTTATTGTGGTGGCCCTCCCTATAGCACTGTTACCTCACTGTTTTCTGTCCCTGTCTTCCTCCCTTTCTCATCTCCCAATAAAAAAGTTCTTGAAGTCTTGAAGAAATTATTTTTGCTTGAGTTCTCTGGTGTGAGTGTCACCTCCCACAGGTGGACACCCACTTCGCTCCCTGTTGAGGGCCTGTTCCAGATTTATTTCTTGATTTTTCACTGAGAAGTCTGAGCTGGTGTGTCCCCTTCAGGGACCAGCGAATGGCTCAAAGATAGAGCTAGTAATTTTGTCATTCTGTTGCCTTCTTGTGTTACAGCTTGATGGTTTTGACTTACTTCATGTCCCACACCAAGTCAGTTGTTGAGATGCTGTAAGTTGTCTTTGTGCCTAGGAAATCCTGCCTTGTTTTGTATTTGCATTGGTTATGTTCCTCTGAAGTGAAGAGAGCAGTACATTAGAAGGAAACTGGAATGATTTGAGTTGGAAATGCTGGAGAAAATAAATCTAGGACATAGTACAATTTTCAAAAAAAGGAGAGTCACATTTCTTGAAAGTGGGGGGAAATTGGGACATGATTAATTTTAAAATATTTCAGATATGAAGTGGCAGACATGCCAACAAAAAAGGATGCTCACAGAGGTAAGGAATAACATCATTTTCTGAATATCAGATGGCTGTAGACTAAAAGTTACCTGTTCTTGTGACAGTTTGTCGCTGTTTCCTCAAGACCATGTCCATGTAGTAAAAGGTGGCAGGGAGGCCTAGGAAGGTCAGCTGTGGTTACACAGTCTTTGTGGAAGTCCTGCCACTGTTCAGTCCAGGATGAGGTCTGTTGTGCAGTTCCAGGGAGGCTGGACAGCAGGCTAATGTGTGTTCCTTTGCTTAGGCTGTTCTGTATCAGACTTGGCAAACTGCACATACTGTTACAGATCATTACATGTGATGGCAGCCTCTTTAGGGATTATCGTTGACTAATGATGCCTCTTGAGGTACTGCAGTATTAGCTTTAGGCAGGACAGGTGCAAAGCTTGGCTATCCCAGCATAAGCGTAAGAGAGCCTGTGCTGCATGTGGACCTGCTTCTGCTGAGCCGTGAGCATAAAGTTAACCTGAGGACATGTACCCTTGCAGAACAAGTGCTAAGCTGGTTTGCATTCACTGCTCAGCCCCATGGGGTGGATATGTAACTCAAGACAATGACCTGTGGCTGTTGACATGCAGCAGTCTGCTGGGCTTTGTGCCTTGGTACACACTAGTGCAGGGGAACCATACCAAGGGCTAGATCTAAACATGGCTGTTTTTTCCTCTTAATGTGAGGAAAACACATTAAGTGC